CACACACACACACACACACACACACACACACACACACACACACCACTTGACTCAAACCTCTTTGGTCCACCTACAGGTGCCAGGCTTCCTTGCATTTTTGTTTATGAGAGATCCTATACAATTTAGACTTCAAGTTGTTTGCTTCTTGTCCTCTACCATTCCCAACAATGATGAGGGGAGGGGAGAGAAAATAAGTGTCAGTGATTTCAAGAAAAAGATAGAGACAAGGCTTAAAACTGGCCATTTCTGGAAGAGAGACAGAGAAGAAAGAAAAAAAGAAAGAAAGAAAGAAAAAAAAAGAAAAAAGAGAGAGAAAGATCTCTGCATTATTAGCCTCTTGGTTCTATTCCCCAGGGTATCTTTCAACCCTTCAATCTAGGACTTAGGGCTGCAAAGAGGACAGGAACGTTTGTGTATGGGAAAATGGAAGTATCTGAGGGGACATGACCAATGAGACAAATCAAACAGAAAGATCCATTTCCCTTTCAACATTCTTCCTTTGACTCCCCAATTTATCTGGAAATGAGGCAAGAGGGATAAAGGAAAGTAGTACTTGGAGGAACGCAAACCTTTACCACCTCACAAACCCAAGGCTGGCACCTAAGATCGTTCCATTTCTCCTCCTGATGTCACCTCCCCCTGCCAACCCAATCAGGAAGATAACCCTTCCACCTCCACCAAATCTTTCATCTCTCTACTTCTTCATAGTCAGGAAATTCCCTCTCAAGACTTTTAGCAAGCACCTTCTCTGAAAGGCATTTAACTCACTTTGATGGGAAACAGAGTATGCTGCTTTGGGCCTTAAATTTCAAGACTGGTTTCCCCACAGCCCATGTCAGAAATCCTTTGGGGGTACTGGAAGAGGAAAATACAAATTGTGGGGTGCTAAAGGTAGAGGGCCTCCAAAATCCCCTGGCCCACCAAACAGAAGCAACAGTTTTGTGGCCACCCAGTCTGAATTCAACCTACACTTTCTGTTTCTAAATCTTCCATCTTATTTTATTTTCATTTCATTTTACCAACGTTTTCCCCTTTTCTCCTTTTTTTTTTCCTAGTCACTCCCACGTAACAAGGGGAGAGACAAAGAGCAAGAATGACATGTATTCCTAAAACATGCCATTTAGTCTTGGTTCCCAGGGGACTGGAGAGATGGGGGAGACACTAAAGAAAGGGGAGCCAAAGATAAAAAGGGAGAAAAGCCAAAGTAGGCTCCCCAATGAGAATAAACTCTAAGGTACATGCTAAAGACCAGGGACCTTTCTATCTGATTTACAGCTAGAACCTTCTGTTCATGTTGTCTCTCCCAATAGAACTGAGCTCCTTGGGAGCACAGACTATCTTCATTTTCAATTTGTGTCCCCAGTGCTTTGCACATAGTAAGCACTTAAATGATTTTTTATTCACACATTAATCAGGTGCCCAGGAGTGAGTCTCCAACCCCCTAGCAAAATGCTGAAACTGGACAATTCATCTTTTTAATCCATACTCCTGTTATCCATAGACCTGTTAGCTCAGTTGGTTACCATATGGTGCTAATGAGGTCAAGTTCACAAACTCAATCCTGGCTTAACCTAAATTGTTTCACTCTGTTTCAAGGCTAGAGTGTTTGCCCTTTTAATCTTTGTTGACCATTTTATAGTTATGATTGTGTGGATGGATTAGTACAAGTCTGTCATCATTACTAGAAAAGAAGTTCAAAGTTTATGCCTTGGTGACAGCAGGTCAGTGGTATCATCTTCCTTTATAGAAATGTTTTTAGATCAACAACTTAGGCAGTTCTACTTAATAAATGAAGACTAAGAATGCTTTATACTCCTAGCGTAGAGGAGGGGGAACCTGCGGCCTCCAGGTCACATGTGGCCCTCTAGTCCTCAAGTTTGACCCTTTGACTGAATCCAAACTTCACAGAACAAATCCCTAGGATTTGTCCCGCAGGTTCCTCACCCCTGTTCTAACCTCTTTCCCCCTACACTGCAGTGGGACTCTATCATTCCCATTCCCACCACCCCTAGGGTATTATTGTTGTTCAGTCATTTCAGTTGTGTCTGACTCTTCAGGACCCCATTTGGGATTTTCTTGGCAAAGATACTGGAGTGGTTTGCTATTTCCTTCTCCAGTTCATTTTACAGATGAGGAAAGTGACTCGCCCAGTGTCACACAGTTATTTGAACTCAGGTCTTCCTGACTCCAGGCCCAGCCCTCTATCCACTGTTATCTAGCTGCCCCTCGGGTATTTCATCCCTTTCTCTCAAAGAGCACCCTCCTTCCCCCATTATTCTTTATCTTTTGTGGCTGTGTGGATTATATAGGAACCTATCTAGTCAGCGTTGATGGGAGAGGGAAGAGAGGAGCTCGCAGGTGAGAGAGGCTGGAGAGACTGTCAGATCCTAAGCTCACCTGCTAAATGGGGAGACAGGAGATCTGAGGCATGGTCCAAGTTCTACCACTAACTAGTTGTCCTGGGAAAGTCTCTTAAACTTCTTCTGACTTTGTTCATCTGTTTAAAAAAAAAAAGAGGGTTTAGGGGGAGGGGAGTCAATCTCTAAGGTGTCTTCTAGCTCTAAAATCTTGAGTCTATGAGCTATCCGCCATTTTCCAGAAAATATTTTAACCACACACACACCCCTTCCCTACCTCCACTGCCATCTTGCCAATGACAAATTTACTGTCTTATCTTCGCATAAAATATTCTGGGAGATGGAGGATAACTTTCAGGGTTCTCCAGATAGGGGAAAGTGAGCAGTCTAAGATAAGGAACTAGCTGCCAATATTTAGGGGAAGCAGTAGAAAGAGGAGGATCCCCCTCCCTGGCTTCACCATCCAGTCACTGCCAGCATCTGCTTCTACATCCACCCTCCTAGCCTGTAAAGTGGGCTATGGAATGAGAGACTCGAGCAGAAGGCTAGGGGGTGTTTCTGGTCTGTCTTAGGAAAAAGAGGAGCAGAAGAGCTATTGTCTCATGAAGTGGAAGAACTGGTGTGCGCTTGTTTTTTCTCCTTTGTATGTGCTTTGAGGGTATCAGCAATCTCCGAATTGCCCTGCTCCCTCTACTCTGCCCCCATCATTTCCCCTGCCCCTCAAGGCTTTCTCCCGTTCTCCCAATTCAGACAGAAGCTGGGACCCAACCACAGTCCAAGGAGCTAGAAAACAGCAGGATCCCTCAGTCCTTTCTCCCTTCTTCGCTCCCGAAAAGCAATTCCAAACCTCCCAAGGAAGCTGACACTGCCTAATTCTGCGAGCCACAGACTGCCCAGCTGCAGTGCCTGGCACGGGGAATGTCTCTACCTCGGTGCCTTGGATTTGCTCCTTTTCTGTTTTTCTGCTCTCTTCCTACCTCCCGGTCTCCCAACTACAGCAGCCAATCCCCAGCCTGCTCTAGAGCAGCACCATATATGGAGAAGTTGGAAAGAAACCCAAATGAATGCGGGAACACACACACACACACACACACAACTGTGTGTCTGTCCCTGTGACCATATTCTCAAGTCCATATGTGTCTATGTGTCTCACCACATCTATTTCCCCAGTTCAGCAACCTCCCTTCCTCCCCACCCCTTGGGGAACCTATTTGTTGCCCATCACTACCCCCACCCACACCCCCTTGATCAACACTCCAACTGCTCTGACCTAGATTCCCCTGCACTAATTACAGGCCTAACTATATCCACCCATCACCCAACTTAGCGCAGCTGAGACCCTGGAGGTCAATTAGAGCAGCTCACAGCTCTGCTGCGCTCAGGAAATGAGATGGAGCCAGAGACACCCACCCTCCACCCCCTACCCTGTGGAAATCATCAATGTTTCTTTGAAGATTGAATCTTTGAGATGGGGGTGGGGGGCAGAGATGAAAGAGGACAAGGGACCTGAGAGAGTGAATGGGGAAGACAGATGGCATCTCCAACAGGAGGACATAGGTGGGAACTTGGTGAGATTGTATGATGCTGTCCAGATGTGTCTGCATTCCCACCATATCCATTTCCCAAGCTCAGCCACTATAACTCCCCAAGCCGGCTTAGGAGGCATCCAGGTTAGGACTTCTTATTCACAGACAAGTGACCTTAGAGGAAAACAAACAGCAATGGGAACTTGATCTGTATG